GCTATGGAGTGAGCTGTGCACAGAGATTTACCACATGATAAACTTAGAAATGAGGGGGTATTTGCAGTAGAAGCGGAGTAAGTGACATAGCGGATTAATAATCTGAAGTGGCAAGGGACCGTCAATATAGCTCAAAGAACCGAAACTGAAGAAAGGTTCTCAAGTGGCAGCCTTGTGCCGGTAGCCGAAGTGTAGGGCAGCTCCCCACTAGATGGAGTGACAGTCTGGTAAGATATACAGGAAATCGATATATGCAGGTGGCTCAGGACTGTGCTTTGTGGTATTCCTTGGGAGGTCAATGTTCAGCTATGGACTTATTAAGGGCTGTAATGACGATGATAAAGTAAGTTTTGTTAACAGTAGAAGAAAAGGAAACAAATCCACTAAAAGCAAAACAAGTTTTTATAAAACTTATACAGATATTATCCCATTTAAATTTCTTACTTTTAACTTCCGATATTTTCAGTGCTTTGCAGCACCCATAACACCTATGACCATTATAACAGGTTTATTCAACATGTTGTATTTGTATTCTTCATCAGATGTTAAGTCAACTGCCAGAAATGCACCTCTTTTGATACTAATATGGAATGCCTTGTTTCCAGTAAAAAGTCTCCAGATGTCTACACTTACCGTACAAAACACAGCAGCATTAGGCTACTATTTTACGTGGGCATTTTATGAGAGTGTGATTCTACCCTAGTCGAGTTGATTCATACTACCACCATAATAAAGCTTCATATGGTATATGACTACAACACATGATGTTAATCAATCTATCAACTTTTATTTGCCAACCAAGAGTACATAAATGGTCTTATAATAACAACAATTTGTCTAAACTTAGCATTCTTTTTTTAGGCATTGCAAATTTGGGAAAGTATAGATAAAATAAGTTATTAGATACAAACATAATAGAGAAATTAGATTAATGATCAATAATATAGTCTAATAATTGAACAATATTAAATCATGCAAAATACAAAGGTATTTGTGACATTTTACATAAACACATAACTTTTCTTCTACTGATACTGTTTATAATATTACTGTGTATTAAAACGGCTTTTTCCTTTTTTATGTATTTTATCTGTGTTAAAAAGTAATTTGTTATTTGTGTTTTGTTACTAGTGCTTCAATGTATTCTTTGATTGAGTAGAAACATTTTTCAATTAAGTAATAATAATGCTTTAATTTTTTTAATGAATAGTGTAATCTTATTTTCAGTTTTTATGTGGATAGGAAATTTATTGTAAATGTTATGTTTTTACAGCCATGTAGTAGCGACTCTGGTTTAGCATTTTAATTCTTGATGGTGGTAGGTATAGTTTGTCTCTGTGGTGTGTATTGAAATTGTGGTTGTCTTTTATTTATTTATTGCATTTACATGTGGTTTTGTGTGATAAATTACAGTACATGCACCCAGCAAAGGTAAAAAACAATATGAAATAAAGCTAGATAGCTCTAATGCCCTAATTCTAATACTAATATTTATATTATTATAGTATTTAGTATACATGCTATTACTATATTTATTTATTTACTTTAATTTAACATAGTATTCATCTAATTTATAGTAACATTTCTTAATCAAAAAGCTATTTAGTGCTATCACAAACTTCTTATATTCTTCTATTTCTATTGTATCTTTGGGTAGTGTATTATATAGTTTAACTGCCATGGAATATGGTCCAGAACTGTATAAAAATAAAGTGGTTTTAGGCAATATTGATTTGTTTATCTTCCTAAGTTGTATATTATATCTATTTATATTATCATCACCAGCTTTTTGAAATATATCTATGCATTTTCTTACTAATTTACATGATTCTAATATATTTAAAGATGTAACTGTTAATATCTTGTATAAAATATGGTCTACAGCTTCCGTAGAGTCAATATTTGATAGAACTCTTATTTTGACATTTGATACATTTTTACTTTTGAGAGGTGATTTATGTTCTTGAGTACAAATATGAAAATATCAAATATGTATAATGATGGTAGTGTGAGGATGTTATGTTTAATAAAGTAGGGCCTACAATTGTCAAGATCTTGAATTTGGCTTATGATTCTGATACATTCCTTTTGCAGTATAACTAGATCCTGAATGTGTAAATTATTTCCACATAACATAATGCCGTATCTTAACCAGGAGTGTGCATATGCGTAGTATGCTGACAGTGCGGGTTTTTATTTGGTGCTGATTTAAGGTGGAATAGAGTATATGTGAATCTAGATAGTTTGTTTTTAATATGTTCAGTGTGTGTTTTCAAGTAGATGTGCAATGTCTATAGTTATACTAAGTAATTTGAATGTATACACGGTTTCTATTTATACGTTGTCGTATCTTGTGTCAATATTTATGGGGGTGTTTTTGAATGTTCTACATTGAATAGTTTTTGTTTTGTCATAGTTTATTTCTAAGTAATGATCTCTAAATGATAAAAGGCCTCTGATTCACTGTCTAGTTTCCTGAAGTATTGGTGTTGGGTTTTTGTTTTGTCATAAGTAATCAATATTGATATTGATCAGTGAATAAGATTGGCAATGTTTGATCCTTATTTAGAACTTTTGGCAAGTGGTTGATATATATCACAAATAGCACATAACCCAACACGCTGCCTTGTGGGATTGAACATTTCATGCTTCTTTTTCAGATCGCACTAATTTGAACTATTTGTGATCTATTTTCCCATATGATTTAAACAATGTGTAAGCTGAGCCACGAATAGCAGAACCGTGTAGATTATGTAAAATTATATCACACAATACTTACTATAGAAGAATAAAAACCCAACCCCACAATGCTTTTGTTATGTCAAGTAATACTCGTAGTACACATTTCTTGTCATTTATATGTTTTAGTCGGTCTGGATATATTTATATACTGATAGTGTAGTTGATCTTGATTTTCTAAAGCCGTTTTGGCTGTCATCAAGAATATTATATTTTTCTAAAAAATCTTATAATCTGATACTTTTCTCTCTGAGGCTATTTCAAACACTTTCGCAAACATGGGTAATAGGGCTATAGGTATATAATTACTAGGAGTGTAAGTGGCACATATTTAGGAAATGGTATTGTACTATTGTATGTAAATAAGTTTTACCTTCTAATATATTCAGGTGAAACTAGGAGTTGCTGTCCATTGATTGAGCACAAATGTGGTTTACATGTTTTTTCTTTTGGGAATAAGAGTGGTCAATGGTCAAATCAACATATTCTGAAAAATAAAACAATTATTTTAAAAGCAGGATCCTTAATATATTATTATTAACAACACATCATAGTGTAGCTGGTCTATAGTGCCTTTAAAAAAAAGGAAAATGAAGATAAAAAAGTCGACCATGACTGTTTCATTATACAGGCACTATATCAAAAAGTAATTCATAGATATAATAGAGATAGTAACACTTGTTCATTTTTATTTATAGATAACAACTATTAAACAAGAAATACCAAATGTTTTGGCGCTAAAAGAAGGGATATGTAACTAACTAGTTTTGTGTTTTTGTAGTTATTAATATGGAGTTTTTAATTTATAAATGAAAACAGATAAGATCAGATAATCATATAAATTAATTGACTACACCTATAGTCTTTCAAATGTTTTCATTTGAAATGACTATTCTGTGAGACTAGCTGACTTTTTACACAATAAAGTCATGCTTGAGAGCAAAGTAGGTATAAATTTATAATGTACATAGCCAAGTAAATTACAATTTAGTACTGTAAAATACATGCCCGGGAATCAACAATTTTTTTGTTTTGTGATATTTATTCGGGCAGTATTTAGGTACAAATATAAATGATAGTTTATACTTGTAGTGACACTTTGATATTGTCGCCAAAACTTTCATATTTTGCATTGTAATAGTTTTTAGACTACAGTATGTATAATATGTATATATGACATTACTGGTGTTCATGTAAATAAAATTAATGGAAAATGATAATCAACTCGCCTGCCAAGTTTGAAAACCAAGGCATATACACTACTCTCCTATGCCTATAGTCAGCAGCAGGATTTCATAGGATATATATTTATAGGAATAATGCATTAAGAAAAAATAAATAGTAAAATTACTGACCGGTCGTGATCTCAGCTTCAGTAAACAACGTGAGATATGCATCCTGGTAGGGCAGTTACTTTGATCTTAGATCCTGGTGAATACCAGATTTATTAGGGATAACAAATCGCAGCTCAATGTGTCGGTAGCACACATCATCATCAGCCTGCAGCAGTTCACTGCTGGACATAGGCCTCTCACAAGGCGCGCCACTTAGCCCGATCTTCGGCTTCACGCATTCAGTTTTTATCAGCCACCTTGCGCAGATCGTCGCTCCATCTGGTCAGGAGGCGTCCCACACTATGTTTGCCTAGACGCGGTCTTCACTCCATAACACATATATAATAAAAAGTATCACATATGTAACTTATTATTTTGTAATTATTATTATAATGTAACTTATTATTATTATAATGTAAGTTCTTGTACATAACCTTTGAATTTTTTACATAGTTAACTTTATGTCGTCGCGTAATGGCCGCGGCGCATGCCCGCGACACATGGTGGGGTGTGGACAGAAACGTCAAAACAAATGTCAATCTAAATCCGTAGCTACATATTTATACATTTGTAGTCAATAGCTGTCAACATCGATTTTTGAGCGTCATAGACATAAGGCTAGGAATATTTGTTTAGAGATTATCACGCGTGGTTTGAACACTGGCCGAGCCGGTTTAAAACAGTTTCTCTCTGTACGTGATGAGCAGTCAGTGTTCGCACACGCGCCTTTACCTTGTAGTAGTGGTGTATTTTCATAGGGCGGTTGTATGAAGCTAAACTTCTGGTTGGTTTATTTACTCGCGGTTAAAAGGTGTGGTTAAAAAAATCGAAAGGTTGAAGCTGTTGTGGATGATATTTTTAATTTAGTAAATTATTTCATTCAGAAGTCAGTAATTTGTACCGTGCTTAATTTGTGTTTTTTTTTAGGTACTCACATATTTAATAAGCTTCTTGCAACAATTCACCGCACCGGAAGTGGTGAGTCAGACAAAAATGGACTCTGCCAACCTGGCGATGGTTTTCGCGCCAAACTGCCTTCGTTGCACCTCACAGGATCCACGCGTCATCCTCGAGAATGCACGTAAAGAAATGACTTTCCTTAAAACCCTCATAACGAACCTGGATACATCACACGTTCAAGATCTACTGTGACCGATGAATCTCAACTATTGCAACAACAATGTCGTTGCAATAAAGAAGACCGACTTTTAACATAGTAATTGACAAATTGCTATAAGATTGGGGACTCTAGTCGCTCGTTTACTTGGGACATGGAATCCCTTAATTGACTTTGAATGTGTACCATATCGACATGTTGACGTGTCTAGTCTGTCTTATTCCCATTGATCGATGGTGATTTGAGGTATAAGTAATATACACATTTAGAAAATACTTCCCATAATTATAAATTTGACGTTCTTGTATATTTCTTGTATTTTTGTACGCTAATATCATAATTTTACTTGGTTGTATCCAAAGATATTTAATGAGATGTGATTTTTAATTATATTTAGAAATTAAGCTTTAAAAAAGTGTAAGTGCAATGTGTTCGCACAGAGTTGTTATAGGTAACGTTCGTTTGTTATCATTAGTAAGTATCGTTTGCGTGAGAGGGAATGGGAGGAAATTTATTTTAAGATTTTTTTTTTAAATTGTGCGAATATACTGTAATAACTGTGTTGAGTGGAAAAGTGACCTAAGTTTGATGTAATAAATAAAAAGCAAACTTACTTAATGATAATATAGAGTATGTATTATGTAATGGATTATTTTCCCAAATGCAATCATATCACAATTTTATTGCCCTTACGGTCACAAAATGCATTTAATTATTCTTTATAATTTTAGCTATTTTTTTTAATTAAGTAAGGACTATAAAAACTTCTACTTCTTCTATAGATTAAATTTTTATGTGGTGGTGCAATTTCTATGTCGTTAAGTGTCTTTAGTTTACTATGTACCCATTTAAACAGTTATTTTCATTGATGTGGCATTTATGTGAGTACTGATTGTTAAAACTACCGCAGTAGTAGATAATGATAGGATATTGGGTTATTACACGATCTCTTGGTTAAGACTGACAACAATGCATCTGATACTGTGATTATACGTAATGATGGCAGCTATGTATTATTTTATTTTTTATCGTGTAAACTTAAAAAATAAAACGATGTAGAAATTTCAGAACCACATTCGATACTTGCCTTTGGATATAGCGTTATATGTTTGGGAAATATGTGGTCGAATGAAGTTACTATTACCTAATAGTATAAATTAAAAAAATAAACTATTTACATGTAGACATGCTTATTAAAATAATATATAAATAAAAAATAAATATATTCGAGATTCCTAATTTCACGTTTGCAATTTTTGATATTTTTAGATCAAAAATGTTGTTAACAGTTAACGTGGATGCTATTCATGAATATAAATTTAGAGTTGTTTAAGCCAAAGCATAAATATGTCTAATACTATTGCTTATTATTATGTATTTAAAGATACTGTACGACTCGGTTTCGCCTTATACAGGATTACAGAAAACTAATGTTATAAGCGTTTATAATATCTCCTGATAAAATAGCTTCGATTCATTACAAAAATTAAAATATAAAAATAAACTTTACTAAAACTGAGCGACTTACTTGTCAATTTTTTACACATTTCATATTCAAATTAGAATCGTATTACTGCATTTTACATAGTACTTGTACCAGTACTATTGATATTAGTTGTTACCATTACCATTTAAAAATAAACATTAAGAAAAATATTTAAATGCATGTACTGATGCTTTAATGTTAGTCCCTTCGCACATTACGATACTCGAAAGACGATACTTCAATCGCATATCAGTAGAATACATGTTCGCTGCTCGAGGTTCGTACATTAAGCTACTAAAAACAAAGAAAATTTCATCGTTTGCATTTGCAACACACACCGCTAAATCGTTTTAATTATGTCGAGTGATTCCAGTGACGAAGAAGCACTTGCAGTTTATCTTTATTACAGAAATAGAAGACGAAATAGAAAAAGAAATACTGGGTTTATCCTTACATTACCGGAAACATAAATTGTAGAGCTTTTGTTGCACTATATAATAGAAATTTTTTATCATTTTACCGAATGTCTAAAGAATCTCATGCGCACCTTGTTAAACTATTGACACCTTCTATACACCAAAAAATAAATACCGTATTTAGAGAATGTGTCAAAGCAGAAGAAAGAGTTTTGATAACACTAAGGTCTTGTTACAATATATTTATTATTAATAATACATGTTATACAGAATTATTACTCTTCTTGATCTTCAATATTATCATTTTGATTATCTTGATTAGATAACAATGGAATGGACTGATAATAAAGCGTGAGTTGTGAATTAGAATCATCATTCATGGTGCTAGTATCAACTAGTATGTCAGTATTGATTGGCGATGGAGTAGACAGTAATGTGCTTGGACTATTTAGCACAATGTATTGCTTTTCTGCCATTATTTCATCCACTAATGCAAGCAACCTTCGCTTAAAGACTCTTCTTTGTATGTCTTTCATTTTGTTCATGTCCGCTTATATGCTCATTAAAAACATTTTATTGGAACTTTGTTCAGAATTCTCAGAACTTTCAGTTACTTTAGCTTATTTTATTTTGAAATAATTTGCAATATCTTTCTCTGGTGTTTCATCTTTCTTTCGGTAGTTTTTCTTTGGTCTTTGTTCTAATTCAAGTGGGAGGTGGTCTAAACTGCGCTTGTGATCTTACTGAAGAAGTTAATGGCTGCGATTGCAAGATTGAAGGAGGTATATCAGCTTCTGACTGAGTTGAAGTCAATGGCTGCGATTGCAAGATTGAAGGAGGTATATCTGCTTCTGACTGAGTTGAAGTCAATGGCTGCGATTGCAAGATTGAAGGAGGTATATCTGCTTCTGACTGAGTTGAAGTCAATGGCTGCGATTGCAAGATTGAAGGAGGTATATCTGCTTCTGATTGAGTTGAAGTTAATGGCTGCGATTGCAAGATTGAAGGAGGTATATCTGCTTCTGACTGAGTTGAAGTCAATGGCTGCGATTGCAAGATTGAAGGAGGTATATCTGCTTCTGACTGAGTTGAAGTCAATGGCTGCGATTGCAAGATTGAAGGAGGTATATCTGCTTCTGACTGAGTTGAAGTCAATGGCTGCGATTGCAAGATTGAAGGAGGTATATCTGCTTCTGATTGAGTTGAAGTCAATGGCTGCGATTGCAAGATTGAAGGAGGTATATCTGCTTCTGACTGAGTTGAAGTCAATGGCTGCGATTGCAAGATTGAAGGAGGTATATCTGCTTCTGACTGAGTTGAAGTCAATGGATGCGATTGCAAGATTGAAGGAGGTATATCTGCTTCTGACTGAGTTGAAGTCAAGGGCTGCGATTGCAAGATTGAAGGAGGTATATCTGCTTCTGACTGAGTTGAAGTCAATGGCTGCGATTGCAAGATTGAAGGAGGTATATCTGCTTCTGACTGAGTTGAAGTTAATGGCTGCGATTGCAAGATTGAAGGAGGTATATCTGCTTCTGACTGAGTTGAAGTCAATGGCTGCGATTGCAAGATTGAAGGAGGTATATCTGCTTCTGACTGAGTTGAGTTTGGTGACTGGGGTTGCAAGATTGAAGGAGATATATCTGCTTCTGACTGAGTTGAAGTCAATGGCTGCGATTGAAAGATTGAAGGAGGTATATCTGTTTCTGACTGAGTTGAATTTGATGACTGGGGTTGCAAGATTGAAGGAGATATATCTGCTTCTGACTGAGTTGAAGTCAATGGATGCGATTGCAAGATTGAAGGAGGCATATCTGCTTCTGACTGAGTTGAAGTCAAGGGCTGCGATTGCAAGATTGAAGGAGGTATATCTGCTTCTGACAGAGTTGAAGTCAATGGCTGCGATTGCAAGATTGAAGGAGGTATATCTGCTTCTGACTGAGTTGAAGTTAATGGCTGCGATTGCAAGATTGAAGGAGGTATCTCTGCTTCTGATTGAGTTGAAGTTAATGGCTTCGATTGCAAGATTGAAGGAGGTATATCTGCTTCTGACTGAGTTGAAGTTAATCGCTGCGATTGCAAGATTGAAGGAGGTATATCTGTTTCTGACTGAGTTGAATTTGATGACTGCGGTTGCAAGATTGAAGGAGATATATCAGTTTCTAGCTGAGTTGATGAACACTGTGACATTAATGCACATGGTTCTTCAGGAGGCTTTTCATCCAAGTTTTGGAAATATTTAGTATTACAGCAAATTGCATGTAGTCCGCTAAATAATAAGGTTCTTTAGTAGCTGAACCATTTTTAGGGGGTTTCAAATGGCGCACGAAGACGCTGCGTAAATTTTTCCTCTTCTCCTTACATTCAGGTCCTGAAAAAAATTTATGTAGAATATTTCTATTCAGTTATTTGGGATCTGGATGTTCTTTTGTAGGTTTAACATTGTATTTTGCAAGAGGAGATAGTACAATTTGCAATATAATAGTTGAAACTACAGTTATTATATGGGAGGTTTTAAATAGATATTACATGCCAATACCAAATCTACAACAGTGGAAAGTCATTGCAGTACGCTTTGATCGCCTTTGGAATTTACCTAACTGTTTAGGAGCATGCGATGGTAAGCACATTCGCATAGAAAAACTACCTAATTCAGGATCAACTAATTTTAATTACAAATCCTATAACTCTATCGTAATAATGGCATATTGTAATGCCGACGGCTTATTCACTCTTATTGAAATTGGTTACGCTGGACGAAGTGACGGTGGAATCTTCAGAGTTTATACAATAAAACATTGTATTAGAGCATGAACGCCTTTGACTTCGAGACTGCTAATGATCAAAACAACTCTAAATTCCCCTACTATTTTGTTGGAGATGAGGCATTCCTTCTTTTGTATTACTTTATGAGACAATATCCATAAAGAACTTTAAATTATTTGAGAAGAGTGTATACTACCGAATGAGCCTGGGAAGGAATACTATTGAATGTGCTTTTGGGATAATGACTGAAAAATTTCCAGTATTGAGTACTGCTATAAAATGTCACACAGTAGAAAAAGTAATAAAACATAATAAAATAAAATATAATAAAAAAGGCGGTATGCATTTTGCATAACTATGTTCGGCAATAGGAGGGTATTCAGTACAGTCCAAGAGAATTCCATAATTCTGACACTAGTTCCAGCTATGTTGCCGCCAATGCAGCAAAATCTTGAAGTAACTGATAGGTCATCACCACATAACGTCCGAAATTATTTAGCAAACTAATTGCCTTGACAATACAAATACTGCGTACAAAATGCAGTGAATAATATAAATAATAATATTCAATAAATAAATTACCAACCTCTTTTTTATTTCCAATTTATCCCCAAATCATCTCAGTTTTATCTTTTCTCATATATTAAGGCAACTTATAGTTCTATAGACATGGATATTTTTCTACTTGAACAAATTTAATATTGTACTGCTGTTACGCCGCCATTTTGGCGAGACTCCGAGGTAGCGAAGTATGCAAATCGTCATACAAATGTATGTGAGATACTCCTTCGAGACTTGCGTAGGATACTAGTTGTTTGCAAGTATCGTAATGTGCGAAGGGCCTAACTGTATTAAATTTCGATCCCATTTCAAATTTTTGACAAGTTAGTCGCTTATGCAATGCCTACAGTTGTGTAGATAAATATGGGTATGTTCCAGAATAGAACCCAGTGTACTGTCCAATGCAAATGACGTCATGAATCGACACTATACTGGTGTTTCGTTCCAAAACATAAGACAGTACATGATGTCATACATTAGCGCCATATTGGAATAGTGTTTGAATTATTTTGTCATTTTGTGCTCCAAAAATCATTAATGGAGATACCAGCAATTATTCTATAATTTTCTGTATTTGAATAAATAAAAACAAATTCTGGCATGCTTCATTCAGCGTACACACAATTAAAAATTGTTTTCATGTGGCCGGATATCCGACACAATATGGCGGTGGTACGCCAGTACAATATGGTATCATTTGATGACGTCATTTGTATACGGTAGTATACTGGAAACTTTTTGGAACATACCCTATATTTAATCAGTTGACGTCGTTCGAAAATTGAAATCTTAAGTAGATGACATCATACTTTTAAGAACTTTCAATTTGAGTTGCTAGGAATAGGTATTGTTTTAAAAATTATTTTGATGAGGTTTTTCCTTGTATTATATTAGTATGTTTATATATTTAGTTATTTTTAGTTTCAAGATATCGAAGTATGTAATAGGCATTAAATAAAAAGCATTTATATGAAATGAGTATTGGTTTTTAAATCATAGTTCAATTTTTTTTTAATTTCAATTAAATTGGCTAGTCTATATTGAAGGCAAAATAAAATTTAAATAAAATGATAACCCCAAGTCGCTTTCAGAGTAAGCAGTAAGTCTAAATCTAGGTTTTAATGCGCATTTTGCGTCATTAGTCATTACACGTTAAATTAACATAAAAAACATAAAGAACACATAACATAAACACTCACGCCTGTCACCCAGAGGGGTAGGCAGAGACTACAGACTTCCATTTGGCACGATACTGACACACCTCTCGCCTCCTCCACATCCATATACCTACGCATACATGCTCATCGGTTAAGGGTACTCCTGATTTGGGCCATTTTCAATATATCGCCAATTTGGTCGATAAACTTTCGCCTAGGACGTTCCTTTCCGACTCTGCCGTTCATTTCTGCAACATAAATTTGCTTTATCACTCTTAAACGTTAAATGAACAATCAAGCAAGTGCTAAATATTTTTATCTTGTAAAAATTTATAGGTACTAAACTCCTTTTTTATTTCCTACTATTTAGTTATTTTTTATTTCCTATTATTTAGTTACAAGCATATAATATTAAAATTTTTCATGTGCTGCTACTCCTCAGCGCATTTCAAAAAGTATGTGCACTAATCGAAATTAAACATACAATATTTGATATTTTACATAAAACTAATGTGAATAAAAAACGATAAGTATGAGACAAATAAAACAGTAATTGCCCTGGGTGAGCCAAGCGTCTGTTTATTCACGTACTGTTGGAAGGTAAATTCATATATATTGGTATCATATGGTAAAATAACACTATGTACTTCGTAAAATGAATATACTTTATTATAATTGCACTTCCCTTAAAAATAGCTCTATGTGGCTTTGATACCCCCTCAAATTAGACAATTTTTATTTGTATTTAGCAACTATAATTTATTAATTGTTTTATTTTTATTTTTATCTTTACTTTTTATTGTTGATACGTGTGTTTCATCAATTGCCTAAGACACTGTATGAATTATGCGCAAAGGCTGTGGCAGAATAGCAGGAGTAATGGGTTTTCCGTTACAACTGAGTCACAGACCGTTTTGTCACAACTAATTATTAAGCTCTCTATTTAAATTTTAATATTGTATTTTTGTGTGGCAAATAAATACTTTTTATTTATTTATTTATTTACATCAACATTATTTTCGTGTTTTACATTGGTCAGTTAATTTATTAAAAAATCGTAATACGCGCAAATGCGTAATAATTTTTTTATAATAGCCGTTGGATTCATCATCGTCAAATATTTCAGTATTCTTGCAAGAGTCCAAAGGTGGACTGTTACCGTTTTTTTCGACATCTATTAATTTTTATGACTTGGCATATCAAATGTAAACAACTCCATATAAATTGTGGTAAAATTTCATGTCATACAAGATTTAAAATGGCCATATCAATATCAAATTAGAAAATATTTTTATACATATATTATGTTGTATGATAAATAAATGTTAACTGTTTCTTTTAGATCTTTCCGTTTTTTTAAATTTGTTTTGATGAGCCCAACTGTCTGCGGAATCGTGTTTTCTGATTTGAATTAGTCGCAATTTTGAAATTCTCAAATATTAGGATTATAAACGAGTTTTCAAATTTCGACTGATCATTAAAGTCAATAAATAATATGTTCGTAATTTGCAAAAATATTTATAATGTACTAATTTAAAAAAATATAAAGGTATAAAGTCCATGTGGAAAATGTACAAATTTATTTTATACAGCTTATTTATTTATTTTTCGTTCGAGTTCTTAATCAAAGGTGGTCCTGATTTCTTATATTTACGCGAACACTACACATTTAAATAATATCAGTTTTTTTTACGGATTATATAGTGTATATTAACTTTTTATATACCCGACGTTTCGAGCACTTTACAGCACGGGGGACTGAGATGTTCAACGTCAAGATGTCACAGTTAACCGCGGTTACCATGGTTAATTTTAATTTTAAAAGGTCGGGTATATAAAAAAGTTAATATACGCGATATAATCCGTAATAAACTGGTATTGTTCAAACGCGTTCTGGTTGAGTTTGAAAAAAAATGTGTTGGATGTTACTTTCATCGATGAATTATGACATGAGTTATATTGTAGCAGCAGTATGAACATAAAAACGAAAATGGTCTTATTTATGTTGTGAATATATTGTACAGTGATTGGGTCTGTATGCATAATAATAAAGATAAAAAAAATGTGTTGGATGTTACTTTCATCGATGAATTATCATGACATGAGTTATATTGTAGCAGCAGAATGAACCTAAAAACGAAAATGGTCTTATTTATGTTGTGAATATATTGTACAGTGATTGGGTCTGTATGCATAATAATAAAGATAAAAAAAATGTGTTGGATGTTACTTTCATCGATGAATTATCATGGCATGAGTTATATTGTAGCAGCAGAATGAACATAAAAACGAAAATGGTCTTATTTATGTTGTGAATATATTGTACAGTGATTGGGTCTGTATGCATAATAATAAAGATAAAAAAAATGTGTTGGATGTTACTTTCATCGATGAATTATCATGGCATGAGTTATATTGTAGCAGCAGAATGAACATAAAAACGAAAATGGTCTTATTTATGTTGTGAATATATTGTACAGTGATTGGGTCTGTATGCATAATAATAAAGATAAAAAAAATGTGTTGGATGTTACTTTCATCGATGAATTAATGGCATGAGTTATATTGTAGCAGCAGTATGAACATAAAAACGAAAATGGTCTTATTTATGTTGTGAATATATTGTACAGTGATTGGGTCTGTATACATAATAATAAAGATAAAAAACTTAGATTTACTAGCTGCTGTGATTGCAACTATTGTCCTAAAATTTATTTTTGTATGACCTTTTTTAATTTTTTT